GCCTCACGCGCCCGTCTTGTCTCGCGGCCTCTGTACCTGCGCGATGAGAGCAGAGTGTATGGCGTGTGCGTGTGTGTATGTGTATAGCCAAACCCCAAAAAGCATAATATACAAATACACATTGTACACAACACATAGCAGCTGATTTACTATTCGTGACAAGTGTAGTAATTAAATTGTCTCTTTCGGCCGTCCCCGGAATTAAAACGTTGCGTTACACGGTTACTAAAAGCGACGGCTGCTGCTGTATTCTGGTTTGATCGCAACTGGTCTATTTTATATAGTAGGTACACCTAATACGGACGGATCTTCAATAAACCTAATCAGATTACACGTCGGGTTTTCCCCCATTCGGCAGTGGCTAAGTTTAAACTTACGGAAGCTTAAGTTCTCTCGATTGCGCACGCAGTGCAGTGTCACTTGGCGTTTGGAATACTTTCAAATTTCAAACATAGACTACAACATTAGGAATATAGCATGATTGGCGCCATTTTTTTTGGCCACGAATATGTACTCAACAATAGCAATATAGGAAGACTATTGTACAATGTGTAAAACAGCTAACCAGGCGCAAAATGGAATATAATAATAATAGTATAATAAACAAAGGTCCTGCTTATATAATAATGCTAATATTTATAAAAACCACGGTTAGGTTAGCCCGGCCGATCGAAAACCACTCGAACCCGACAATTCAGCGGATTCTCACGAATAAAAAGCGCTTTTCTAAATTAGATTTGTTTTCCGTTCAGCTTTTATTGAGCATCGCGACCGAAAACCCACCAAATCCACTCGATAACGCCGACAAAATATATTATACTCTGGAGCCAGCATTTTATCTAACCATCTCATTAGATACAATATAATTTATACACACCCATTAATAGCTGTTGCTTCAGAGGACAAAGCGGCGGCGGTGTGTTAATTTCGCATCATTAAACGTTATCGGCTACAGAACGAGGAACTCATCAGGATTGAGCGGCGAGGGGCGAGGGGAAAGTGCCTTTACGATAACCCATGATTAACAGCTATTCCGCCCGTTGGATTCAAATTGTTACCTTCGCAAACAAACGGCATCGAAAGACCAATATTCTTGCGACCCGTTAACTTTGATATTCCACCGCCGCAATGCGCAAAAACGATTACTTACTCGGGAAACACTTAAACGTTAACACCTATATATATATATATATTGTATCTATTGCCATATTGAATTACCAGAACAGCTCGAGACGAGACGCTGACCGTTCGAGATAGATTGTTTTTTTTCATTTGTACACAACGAATGGAGAGATCACAATATTATTATTACTAAATCATACCAACGTCTGGATTTTGTGGCAAAAATAAAAGACAATTTTTTACCATCGAAGAGCTTTTATATGACTTTCGCACGCATCAAAAATAAGAGGCTGTGTTGTACTCGAAACGTACTATAATAACTAACAAGCTAATGAAACCAGCTAGTCACGATGAAACGTTATGGGCACCGTCCACGGCGAAAGCGACATAATGATGTTATGATAATATATTACTTTCGATACGTCAGTTTTTTGTATTTTGACTCTATTTGTCACGGGCCGGGCTGTGCGATAACGATTTGGTATAATTTTTTTTACAGGGGAGGATAATGGATATATTGTATAGGTATACGGTATATTCATTACCGTATTATTACAGTAGAATAGTTACTGCACGGTAATAATGATATAATAACAATAGTACTGCCGTGTGCCGGGCGAAAAGCGCGCAAAGTCGCCAGCAGAACGCTCCGATAAACAGCTGCTGGGTGGAGGTAATGAATAATTTATTAATTCCAGGGCACTTTTATCAACCGAAAATAACGCAATAATCCGTATTTATTTATAGTTGTATATATTTATTATGAAATGGGACGCGCGAAGGCCAATGCGGAATATGTCCGTGTGTATACCGCGGCGGAGGGTTGACAGAAATCGGGTGGACTTATCTAGTGACATGAATAATGCGGTTCGGGCACGAACAAAGCGAAAAATGCTGCACGACAATAATAATGTCATTACAATGTGCTTTTCCCCCCCCCCGGCCACCGTAATGTCTTCAGCTTATACACAACAATACGCCGTTGTTTTTATAGACCGAATTGCATTAGGCTAATCAGATAACATTATTACGGGGATGCCGTACGCAATGCCGAATAATATAATCTCGGCCGAGCGGCATTCCAGGGGTCAGAAAAATAATCAAACTAAAGGGAGAAACATTACTGTTGGATATATACACACAGAAGCTCTTTCATTGTCTCTTTTTTTTTCTCCCCCAAACCATTTCTTATCTATCGCTGTAAGGCCTGAGAACCGGCAGCTTATCCTGCCGACCTTTTTCGCAACACAGTATTTCATTATACTCTGCAATCGTTTCATTGGAGTTTATAACGCACCAATTATACGTTTATCTGTTCTTGCCAAAATCGATACATTGTCTGCGTAGGGACAATCTAAATAAACTATTCAGCCGGTGCAAGTTCAGGTACACTGAAAGAAATAACCAAACAAAATCTGTTTGTATTTGATTTGACTTCATAAGACATAAATCATTGTCAGTGGTCACACCCATCCGCGCACCGCTCGACCAGTATGTGTTTTGGTATCCTAAATATTATTATACGGTAATAGTAGGTGTCGGCGGCACTAGGTACTTTACATAATACTCTAATCTAACATTAAACTAATTAACATTTTGTTTTTACTATACAGAAAGGTCGATTGCGTCGATAAATTGCTCTCTCTCTTCGTCAGCACACCATTCTCGGCATGACCATACTCGTGGCTACCGCGCCACGTGACAACATTTTTAACAAGGTTTTCATCTCCCTTTTGTTTTGTTTCTTGTCAAGTTTAATAACGCAATTGTATTCATCCGCCACCTACACGTTGTGTGCTGTGTGCAGCGTGAGCGTGAGTTTGGAATTCGCTTGGAACATCTTATGCCGCTTCTCTTCAATCGGAAACAACAACCACGCGACAGCTGCTGCGGCCAACCTGTTATTAGCCCCGCCGATTGATTTATCGCGTTCGAAGACTTACAATAAATAATATGATAACATCGTTTAATAATAATTATAACCGCTCGCCGACGTGATCTATTGCGACGCGAGTCATGTGTTCGTGCGGATATCCGATGCGCGATTCGGATACAGAAACAGTAAAACCACAACTATCCGCGTCACCCTTCTGTGTCCAACGGTAATAATAATAATTGGTCGGTATACAATACTGTAGACCGCCTGAATGATTCACACGGCGAAAATTCAAATAACACCAATGATGATATTATGAAAAATTCAGTTCCGTATTATTATTTTACTACTGTTATGAATAAATCCAATGCTGTGATCCCGCTGAGATTTCGATCATGTCCGAACGCATGCATGTATAATATTTTCACATTTGTATAGGTATATATATGTCCCCCTCGTTGTTATAACACCGTCTTCAAATCTTCGTCTCACTTGTTAGGTGTATAATACTGTTTTATTTTTTTCTACGGGGGCGGATTCTCGTTTAAATGCAGTATTTTGTTCCAGCGTTTCGGTGACACCCATATAATTACCGCGTCCGGCTCCCGACAATGTTATCGCCTTCTCATCGTTATCTGCTTGCATCACAAGTTAACGCGCCGGTCCTATAGCACCGTGTCCCGCAGGTCGTTTGACGTACATGACAAATCACTCCGGACGGGTGAACCCAGGTCGAATTTCGAAAAAGAACACTGTAATTCCCATACAAGATCGGGCCATAACCCGACTGATATCCTGTGTGTTTCGAACGATAGAGGATTCTTCTTTTTGTGATTTCTTACGAAGAAACGTTGTTGTTGTTAAAAAACATAGAGGTCTACCGCAGCAAGTGTAAAACAAGTACATAATATGTCAAGTATATCAAGTACGTTCGTATGGAAGCCGCTAAAATATTCAAAATAGACAATCGACACTTTCCAAATAGTGTATTCACCTTCGAGTGGATTTCGCAGCTCTTATCAGCCGCCACCGGAGAGCACCCGTCAGCCGTAATAAATCGTTCTCTCTTGAATAATATCTATATAGGTATATAAAACATTAGTTTTTTACCCATTTTTTTTTCTCGGTGGCCTCTAATATATATATATACATATACGGCAGCTATCTCCTTATCCCGCGCTCTGTTTCGGCGGCCGATCGGAGGCGGAAACTCTTGGACGATTTATTACGGCTTTCGGTGGTGAACGATCGTGACCGGCATCGCCGCGTCTGGTCACGTGGCGGCGACTACAATACACGGCCCGGGTTGTGTACCGCAGAAATCTTTGTTCTTCCGTTTTTATCTCGCCGACAACGACTGCCAAAGTTACCCCCCCCCCCCCCCGGGACGTCGACATCATCCCCTACGCAACGTTAAATAGCGATAATGATGCGCACACGCTGTACACATAATAATACACCCGCGCCGACCCTATATGGCCGATTCCTGTGATGGTAAACCTCGGCTTCCGGCTTTTACGCGGCGAGGGCTACAACAATATATTATGTAAAACATCAGCGGCCACGCCGGACGTAATACACGCTATTGCTGTGCATACGGATAATTACTATCGGGTCGGCGTGGTCCCGAAAATCTCCGTCCCATTAACTGCTCGGGCCGGTCAATTTGCCGAGTCCCGTGGGAACAAAGCGATTCAAATGTATACATACGTTTGAAAGCTGCCGTTGCCGATGGCGACACGAAACGTCCATCACAACGCCACTGATGCAAATAGAGAGACATACGAGGGCACGGTTAACGCATTTTTTTTTAAAAACAATACACGTTAATCTTCTCGGGTACTAAACAAAAGATACACACACACACACAGTTGTATTTCGGACACAAGCCTGTCCGGCACAAGATCGGTTACCACCTGCCGGCCTGCGTACAATACGGCCGCAATTAACGCGTTAGTTACTCGTCTAATACACGATGATGATGTCGAGTGAATGTACTGACCTGTATGAGATAAGCCGTGTCCGGCCACAGGGACAGCGTGACGCACGTAGTGTCGGTGAACAAGTTGCCCTTCAGACCGCCTCCGACGATTTCCCACGTGACCAAGTAGGCGGGCCGGCGCACTTGTCTCGCGTCCCACGCCACTTCGGCGATCACCAGCACCTTCTGATGGATCATCGACACTTCCCGCAAGTTCCACACTTCCGAAGAGTCTGCGGGAGGATCGTCGCCCTGTAAAAAAAAACAAACAAGCATAACGGTTATTACACGGTAGCACAATTGTTTTCTCGGGGGTTTTAGACACAAATACGGTTAAGGAGTCGTTTTTCGACGTTACTTATTTCCATTTCCCGGGTCGTTCGGCCGAAAGACACAATTACCCCCCCAAACGCCGCACCGGATGTGCGCTGGTCAAAACTAATCAGGTCGACTTAAATTGCTTGGCCAGCAGCGGTTGTCCGGTGACCGTGCCCGGTATATCATTGTACGCCATATATACTCTCGTATTATACACATTTATATATATAGTAAGGAGATAGCCGAGACGAACAAAACCATAATCCTTCCAAGTGCGAATAAAAACCGTCCCCCGTGTCACGTTTGTCGCCGGACGGGCGGGTAAACGCAAGAGCCGTGACCTCATATAATCCACCGTATAACCAACCGGAGAAAATGTATTCCCAAGCCGTTCGCCAAATTGCCGAAATCCACGTTACCCGAATTTTTATGAAGGTTATAATAATAATAATAACAGTATCCCGGAATGTCGAAAGGATATTATATTATGAATAAAACATTGGCTCTATAATATTATATTATATCCTTTGTATACAACGGCCGAATCGTTACGGGTGTTTTCACTCTGGAAATAACGTCGTGTGGCGTGCACAAGCCATCATTGATGACTTATTACTGCCGGCTACCGACTTGTACATATTTCGGATAAACGCTCAATATTATATAATTCCCGACTTGCGAACCTTCATAAAAAAAAAATCGATTACATTATCACGCTAATACAGACAAATGTGAATCAATTTTAAGAGTAGGTGATGTCCACGCGTCAACTGTAAGGCGACAGCATCGGATAAAAATATGTATAATATTATCATACAATAACATACACAATTGTGATGGTTGACGTTTAAATTTTCCCATTACATGTAAACCTCTGGAAGGACTGACCGTTTTTATCAGAAGTAGGGTTTTTTTTTGTATGTACAATAACCACTGTCTACCTGCCTGTTTTTTTTTTGGAGGAGTGGCTGTTTTGATTATTTTTGTTTAAAAAATTTACATTTTTCCTTTTTAGAAAGCCAACACGGATTACTGTGTTATTGGTGAAAACGGTTCCCAAACATCCGCGAGGTAAATATAATAATACTATAACCATCATCATTTTAATGGAACCTTAAAAGAATCCCTTGTCGCGAACACGACCGACGGAGATAATAATAAAAATAAAATAACATTCAACAAGGACGACATTATTATGTTAACATGTTTTTACTTTTCGCCTTGTCGTCGTCCCCGTGAGATCCGATCAGATTAAAACGTCGCCTAAGTAGAAAATAATCAAAAATTCTATTCGTTGTTGGTGAGGATCGACGGACACGGACGGTGGCGCCCGATCGAAATCGCCCGGCGACCGTCGCCGTTTAAATATGTCTCGCACAGTAATAATTATTTCATTGCCGTGTCCCTTTTGCGAATCTAAAAGAGCATTCCACAGTTGTCTTGGACATTGCAGTTCGGACGAGGCGTGCGTGTAAAAAGTGTTGCTTACAAGGGTGAAACTGTACAAGGGCCGCGGAGAGAGATGGAGGACAGCCATCGCAGGCGTCAGATTTCACAAGCCTATAAGTTGCGGTTCACTCTATAAATGATGTAGTTTTGTATTGTCACACACATACTATATTAAAGTCTATACCGCATTATCTACCGCGGGGGCGCAAGGTGATTCAAAATATTTAATAAACCTCACAAAGTGCATTTTTGTTTTAAAGCTGCTGCGATCGTTATGACCCCGTGTTATAATAATTGCGGGTTCATCTTTAACCTTTCTTCGGATGAAATCTCGGTTACGACGCTGCTATATTTTACTGTGAACCGTTGTAAAATTTTAAAGGTCCTGCCCGGTCCGCAAATTGAGTTTTTACAAGACATTCGACACGCACAGCTAAAGCCGGCTATAACGTTAAGAAAAACCGCGTCGCGTCGTTGCTCCAAAGTGGTTTTGTTTTATAACTATTGTAAACAGTTTTATATTTTTGCATTATTTAAATTTACAGCTCAATTTGCTCAGTTTTACCAGCATGTAGTCTCCCGGGTAAAACAATTCGCTCGGTCTTCAACGCCGGCTCTTTTGTACACAGTTTCTAATTTGTTCATCGCTATTATACACACTATATTCATTAGACCGAGACGGCGGCGCTGGTCGCTATCACCATTTTCTACCACCTACTCCGCCACAAGTAACCGCGCCTCGCTCGACGTTATAAACTACAACAATAATAATTAAGAAAAACTGGAAAATATCCTACATCGAAGTTGATTGAATGTTTAATACATAAGAAATTCGTAAAACGAAACGCTATACTTGAGTTACTGACATTTTTGTTTTACCGTTTATAACAAGCCGTAAAATAAAAATCGCTTAATAATTTACCGACCTCGGGCAACATACTTAATATAAAACTTCGCCTAAACACATCATTGTAAAAACAATACATTTCAGCTATGCATCGAAGCTAAAAAAAATGTCTATTCATTTAATATTATACAAATCTGCAGTTTTAAAATATTGACATTGAATAATTTCTGTAATGTTATTAATTTGACTGCGAAATAAAACGTTGCCTTTCGTGTTTTAGTCATTGCATTTTTGTGTTGAAGTTTCGTCTCTGAACTTTTTTATTTGGCCCGTGGTATAAACAAAATATGTTTTTTTTTCTTCTTAACTATATATTTTACAATCTGTATACAAAAAATATACAATATGCAAATTGGATATTATACATTTGTACTTAACGTGAAAAAAGAGAGAAACCAACGACCACTTCAACAACCACACTTGTGTTCATACAATATATTATTAAGGATCGCCAATAGGCCATAAGGCGTATTGGTCCGGGTTATTGGGAAACGAGGAACGGATGAAACCGAAAGCACAAACTCGCGTATACACGTTGATCGATCGGATCGCCGCCAAAGTCGAATTTCCGTATAGAAGAAAACCGAAAAGGACGGCGGAGTTTTCTTTTTTCGCCGTTCCTACATGTTTGTATATATATGTACGTGTATTATATTATGCGACGGTGGCGTACGCATGCAAATGAGGGAAATGAAAACGACGAAGTCGACGTGCTCGGGGTAGCAATATTTATATTTCCCTATGTACAATATACACACACACACACACAAGAGCACACCACCACCACCACGTCCACAGCCCGGCCACTCACAGCACAGTGAACGCATCAATCCGAAATAAGAAGATCGGCGCACATCAACTCTCTCATCAATCCACGTCGTATGCTACTAAATTATGCAGCTCACACACACACAACGGGCGAGCGACCCGGCAGTCACGGACGACGAATTTTTTTTTGGCTGAACGTTTATTTATTTATATTAGTTCGCCCAACGGCGTGTCGTCGTTCCGGGCGTTTACTCGTGATTTGTCGTCTGTCGGGCAAAAAACAAAACGCCAAAATCGGCCGAGGTTGTCAACAAGTGTGTCGCTAAAAAAACCCCAATCCGAAGAGTTATATACGCGGCGAAGACCACTACCGCGGTGGCCTGACATATCGTGCGGCACGTTAATTATCGTTTCGCTCGCGCATTTTTTTGGCCCCTTTCCCAAAGACGGTCTATTTTCGTCGGTTGATTTTTATTATTACTATTACTTGTATTTTTACGCGCCGTAACACTGACATGTGCGCGGTTGACTATCGTTTTTTTTTTCTACGACAACGGTGTACGCCACAAGTAACAGCTACACCACAAAAAAACACCACTCGTCTGGTGTACGATAGCATTGCTATTAAGGCGATTGGGTGGTACTGGCCTTTATTTAAGGAGTTGTAGGTAGGCAATTTGAGTTCAGTGTAAAGTCTACTTGAGATCGGTCAGGCCACTTTTCCAGTTTTATTTAATAGCATTTTTTAAACACCACCTCAAGATTTAACATTTTTCAATAAATTTAAATCAAACTTGTGGAATTTCGAGGGCAAAATTAAAAAATGTAAGCTGACCGAACTCAAGTTAGACTTCATGCCGAATTAATATATATTTTCAGAAGTCTTATCGCATCAATACAACGATCGGACTCTGATTGAAGTAAAATGGGTAGTTTTTGACGAAAAAATTGGCCGTTACCCAATGGCCTTAATTATACAAAACAATGCACAGATAAACGGTGCAACACACAAAAACGGCCACCGGATGATGGTAAACGTGGGTCGCCGTTCTTGTGTGTTGGTTTATCTGTAATCTGTGTATCGATGAAAGTAATTTTTCGCTCACCATCAGCCGGAGCGACTCGTCTTGGGATTCGGAACGGGCGGCCAACGGCAACCGGATACCGAGTATCTGGTCGCGGCCCAAACTCCTGATGATGACGTCGGCGTCGCGGAGATCGTGTAGGGCGAGTCCGGCGGCCGGGGCCGGGGCCAACGGCGACGGGGCGGCCGCAGCGGAATCGGTTTCCGTGGACGACGCCGCCGGCGTGGCGTCCGCGGTGGCCGGGCTGTAGATGGTGACCAGGCCCTCGGCGGACACGGCCAGCACTCGCACCGTGCAGGGAACCGTGGTCTTGGGCAGGCGGGCCTTGAAGCCGGGCGTCTGTCCCAGCTGTGACCACGTGCGCCGGGTTCCGGGCTCGCGGCGCCTCATGATGACGTACACGAGTCTGGGCGACGACGAGTCGGTCGGCTTGGGCCACCGCAACGTGCCGGCCTCCACTGTCAGGGCCCGTTCGCCCCGGGCTTCGACCACTGGGCTCGGCTGCGACGAACTGTGCCAGTCGTGGAACGAACACGCTTCTTGACAACCGGCGTCCTGTAAGTACACGAAACGACCAATTAATATTAATCATAACAACACATCGTCAAATCCATAATATAAGCTTTCAAGTTTCAACAATATGCTCTATACAAAGTGAATCTTTACTCAAATATAATTAACACTCAATTTGGGGGGATGAATCAAGGGGCCGGATTTAGGTATGTGGTGGCCCCTGGGCGGAATCCATTGTGGGGTCCCTTATGCATAAACAAGGAAATATATTTTTTTACTTATTAAATAATAAATAATTATAAAAACAATCAAATCGAGTATAAGTAATATTATCATAATATTAAGTGTAAGTAATTAAATAAAGAATAATAAATAAAAACGTTATAAAAATAATAATGTCAAGTAATTAAAATTAAATGCCCGGAACTTTTCTTGATTTTATTTGTACAAAATTATCAATAACGTTTTGAAAATCAAGTTTTCTTAAAAAATCGGACTCGGAGCTCATTATCGCTAGTTGATTGAACCTGTCTCCGTCCATAGAAGTACGCAATCTATTTTTTATATGCTTTAAAACTAATCTCATAATTCTGACGGTGAATTATTGTCGTTAACCATCATTTTGACATCATTTACGACATTTTGACGAATAATTCCAGACCCACAAGTGTATATTTAGAAACACATTTACTAATATTATTACAATCGCCGGTGCACACCGATCACGGACGGCATAAACACCTATCTTATCTAGATTCTTAGACACCGTTCATTGTCAATAAACGCGAATACATCTATTATTAGTTAGTAAAAATTACATTTTTAAATGTCTAAATAAAGTTCAATATTATTTAATTAAATATGTGTAAATATAAATAAAATATTTTTTCTGTATCCTAATTTAAATATCATAAAATTGTGGGGGCCCCAGGGCTGCAGCCCACTCAGCCCTCCCCTAAATCCGGCCCTAGGATGAATCGATGAAAAACGAACATTATTATTATTTATTAGTTCACCAGATATTTATATGAAATTTTTTTTTAATGTTTTTTATCTAGAACAAAATTTAAAATCGCTACATAGTCAACATTGAGTGCCCCGAGTTACGACAGTTATGTGAATAATAACAGATTTGCGAGGGACCGGGGGGGGGGGGATTCATCGAACGTAAACAATAAAGATAATAATAATCGTAGAAACTTGTACGTTATTCTCGTTAAAAACTTTGAGCGCCGTTTACTTATTGAAAATACAAATTAAAACCAAAGCCCTCTCCCGGGATGGTACGGTATAAAAAAAAAATTAATCGTCCATAGGCCAAGATAATGGATTTTCCCTCGGTTATTATTATTATTATTTTTTTATTGTCGTCGGTCGGCTTTGTTTTGCGCAAATCTATTGGGCGAATCGTTCACGGTTACAACGGGACAAACGTTCGTCTCGTTATATTTTAAGCTCAGTAACGTTTCACGTTACTACACTATAGGCAGAAGAAGACAAAGGCACAAACGGCAATTTACCGATTTATTATGATAATAATAGTATTTTTAATGAAAACCCCGACGATCGATGGATATTTAACAGTTATTCTATAATAATCCGGGATTAACGAAACACCTGGACGCGTACGATAATAGTATTATGTTTGGAAACTGCATAACACCTTATAACACCGCAAAATATATAATGCTATTGAAATATTTAAACTCGTCCGAATAGTGAGCACATGGCATAGGTAAAAATTAAGATACAAAATGTTTTCAAACGTTCGCATCTGGTCTGATCATAATTAAAATTAATAATATTACACGTAAGCCTCGTTTGACTGTCGGCATTACTAATTTTTTATTAATATTTATGAAAACACGATTAAAATTTAATTGCATTCATTCAAATAGTATTGATGGCATATTATTATGTTTTTTTTTTACACTCATAATTGTTAACGATGCTCCAAGACTTTTTACAGGGAACCCGTGTGTAATAATAATAATAACGATGATGATTTATTCATTTTTATTATAAAACCGGCCAACCGGTCAACGTTATGTGCAAGTTGTACTGTAAGATTACATACATTTTGTTCAACTAAAGTCACCGACAAACAAAAAATGTGCGTCCGCAATTTTTAATTTTTATACGTGCCATTTCGAAGAAAGTCAAAATTAAGTAAAAGTGTACGGCGAGACGCACGTGTCGTTTAACATTCGGCTTTTGTCGTTTTCCCCCTTCTAGTACGGGGGATAGTAAGGCGAAGACGATAAAATACAAAGGGTTGTTTGGTTTGGTGTTACACTCCAAAGGAAATCTGGAAATTGTAAGTGAAACTTTTAAAGAAAGGATGTGCGCGCTCCTGTGTATAGATATATATGTTTGTTTAGGAAAACAACAACACAACGCATACTTTGACCTCGCCTGTTTATTTTTGACGGGAAAAAAGCGATTATTCGTCGAAAATCACCTCTCGCACCTCTTACATCGTAATACACGGGTGTTATTAACGTCTTGTCATTTTTCAAGCGGACGTGCGCAACATAATATTATAATAGTATTAACAACAATAATAATAATAATAATAATATTGTTTGTCCGCCGGGTCGTTATTCGCTTGGCAGCTTCTCTTTTCGTCCGGTTAATTTTTTGTACGCGCGTTCCAAAAAAAAAAAAAAAATACTACCACCGCGATAGCTAATACACTATATAGAGGCGGAGCTCGAACGCTATAAATAATATCAAATCTAACAAGGCGTTATAATTGCCAATTTTCCAAAGAAACGGCAAAACGTTATCGTCAAATGCTATCGAGAAAAAAAAAAGTCGAAACAGCTATACTATACACGATTTACGACCGATATAATATATTACATTAAAGACAACTTTACAATTGTGTGTGTGTGTGTGTTTTTTATCCGCCTCCGTAAAACTACCGTATAATAAAATTATACACACAAGTACATGTATTTTATTATATCGGTTTATTTTGGCAGTACGGACACGGCGTGTAATACAATACACGTCAAACACACGGTCGGTAATACAATACTATAATAATATTGTTATTATACGGTTTTCGGTAATGACGCGCGTTTCGTGGGGTTGACAAATTCTTCGACGGGAGACGCGATCCGAGTCGCAGATTTTTATCTATTTAGATTATCTTTCCGCATTGTTGTGCGCCCGAAAAATAAAAAAAAAATACGAGTACTCGCGGGTTAACGCACGACCAAGAAATGGAATAAGAAAAATAAAAGAGAAAAAAAAACGATACTACAACGACGACCGTCTGTGTCTGGGCGCACAGACAATAATAAAACGTATGTACACATACATAAGAGTCCCCCGGCGAACAATCGAGTCCACTGTTATGTACCGGCGCTCTAGTGCTGACAAGAATGCATTCACAATATGTCAATCAACCGACAATATGTTTCTGTAACGCATATATACAAAACATGATATTATGATACGTAATACTATGTATAATGGCACAACAGACAAACAACAACAACACGTCGTATAAATATTATATATAATATTATATTTTATACGCGGTCGAGATGTGTTTTGTGAAAAGGGGACCAGGTTATCAAATCGGATAGATCCGTCCCGGGGTACAATAAAATAAATACTAACAATAACAACACGTGATCGAACTTTAACGGGGATCTACAGTACGCATTATAAATCATACATTTTGCACACCGACAGCGACGACGTTTCGAAAACAAAATAACACACAAATCGAACAGAAATTTGCTTTACTTTCGAGTCGCACGTTATTATAATAGCGGACCGTACCCACCACCACTCGATAAGACCGCGCTGGAGAGTTTTCGGGTTTTGAAACAAAACACGCGGCCAACCACCCTGTTGGCACCATTGTCTTTTTAGAAAGTGATGCTAACAAGTCGTGAACGCGGGTGGCTTTCTACGGTGACCTTTTTTTTGCACGTTTACTCCACGCGTTGTCGTCGTATATGGCAGTTAATGTTATTATTATTATCTTCGGCGGCCGTGAAATAACATTATGAACGCGTCGGGTCCGACCCAGCGGGAGTTTGCACATCATGTGAAATTCGGTGAAAAGGCCGTGTTACCGAGTCGTCCGTAGGGTCTCTTGTTTGTTTACTCGGGGAAAAGGTCTGCAGCGGAACGTTTCATTTGAAAGAAAACAAAATTAATACACAAAATTAACAGATACCTACGGTTTATTTGTCTGCACAAAACCTACACAACAGCAGGAGGTGCAATTTTTATTGGAAAATAATTTCTCCCGGAGAAATGGACCACTTGAAAAATCGCGATACTTTGTCTGTTATTTTCTAAAACACAATTTGCCGCAGAGCTTACCCGTCGTAATAATATTTTGTACTAATATTGTATTAAAAGCTGTATATAATCGGACGGCGGACGGAGCTAAGGTAAAATGAATTTGAACAGCACCGAAGCTAAAAAGTATAATAATCGTCCCATCGGCCACGGCGTATTGGGGCCGAGGTCCGGCGATGGTGAGGAAAGGATCATCGTGCTGTTCTTGTGAAATATTAAAAAAGACTCCGCCGGGTCGGTCAGCACATCCTACATTTATAATAATAATAATATTACTATATACCTTATGGCTTATAATATATATATATATATATATATATTGTAAAACCTTCTGTGCACATAATATCTACCCACTGACCTACGGGAGCTTAACCGAAGGAATGCCGGTGCCGTTGTTGGAGTGGAAGATGATAATCGTAGAATAATATTATAACATGTATGCGCAGCCAACAAATTGATTTTGCCCGCATTAATGGCGTTTAACATATTATATATATATGCATATAATTATTATGGTGTATACAGGATATATAATTGTTATTATTTCTGTATTTTGTCGGTTACAATGTGTGTGTGTGTGTGTGTGTGTATACTTAAAATCGGTCTACGCTTTGAGAGGCACATGTGGCGCCGTCGGCTATAAAACGCAGTTATTAAGCGCGATATTACTTTCCGAGTAAATTCACTTGTTTATTATCGATTATGATAATAATATACCTATATACAATGTTTACATCACACACACACAAGATACACCTATGGATGTACACGACGGTGTTTGGAAAATCGTATTCACCGAAATGCGCGTCTCGGGGGAGGAGCGAACGGTAGCTGCTGTTATTATAATTTTATTATTATTATTACCACTACGGAATTATAATACATTATATACATATTTTATATTTACAAGTACGTTTTACTTTGAATACCTAGAGGCGTACCTACATATACACTCACAAATTACCGACGCCGAAACGATAAATAGGTTTTAATTTTTTTTTTTTTGTTAAATATCAAAAAACAAGGAAAACGCGTTAACATACACGCCGTATCCCTTCGGTCTCGTCTCTCTCTCTCTCTCTCTCTCTGCGTATAAGCTCTTAGTCTCATTCGCCGTCGTGTGCTTCATTAAGGTTTCCTCGAATTGTTACACGCTGTATTATGATATAATAGTATATCAGTTCGTATAGCGTATAAAAAAAAAAGAATGAAAAAAAAAATTAAAACCACGCGAATGAATGTCTTTAGAGCTTTTTTTCTCCCATCGAGCTTTAAAAAAGGGTTAACGAGTGCAGCCGTCGCGTCACGTCGCGTCGTTGCCCTTTGTTGCGCACGGAAATTAAAAAGAGGAGAAAAAAATGACCGAAATGAGATTTAATCAAAACAGAAAAGACTTTAAAAAAATGATATTATACCGACTTAAAAGAAGAGGGGAAAAAAAGATCATTTTGTTTCAACGGGTTTCGCTCCGTTGCAATTTATATCTCTGACCGGGTAAACGGGTGTTTTTTATAACCAGAGTATTCGTTAACCGTCATTTAATCTGAAAAACGATGGCCATAATAATAATAATAATAATAATATTATATTACCTTATACGCGGTTTGGTATCACGTAGAAACTGACCAATAATAATAACGTACGAGCCATCGCCTCGAAGAGCTGTTGTGCAATGAAAACGGTAGCTATGGCCAAACGAGAATGGCAACTATACCATAAATTTACAATCAAAAGCATTTGCGAAAACAACGTTAATCCAATGTATTGTAAATAAATATTTGGCTCGATTAAATGTTTGGATGGCGGCCGAACTAAACGTGTAGTTGCTCTGATTGAAAATTTTGTTGGCCCAACTATATTCGTTTAGTTATTTCAACTAGAAATGTATTATGCCCATAATTTTAGTTGGACCACCAATGTGTTTATTTTTATGTATGTACAACTATTTTGGATTTGGATCAACATGCGAAAGTCTGGCTTATAGAAACCATGCACGCGCTTCTCTAGGCATATTATATCCAATGTATATTAGAGATACATTACATTCAAACACACGGCCCGGTTGCACGTCTTTAGGACAAACCGAGGCACTCGTGCGGTTTTTCCTTTCAGCCGTTATGAATTATTTACGCGCGGTACACACAAACACACACACACACACACACACAGAAACATTACACCGTTTGCTCTATCAATTATTCCCACGGGATTTGGCCCACAACTCTGTCCGTCCGGGATCATTTTTTTTTTTAATTCGCCCGGTCCGCCGGAGTGTGAAAAATATTAATAATAAACCATTAGGGCCCAGGACGAGCGGTCCAATACAAAACATAATACATTACTAGACGAATCATACGCCGCCGGGCAGCTTTTTGCGATAAAGGAATATTGAATTTAATATTTACTATTTATGTCGCATCTCGACAAAATAATTGAAGCTAATCCTCGCGAAATATTTAACCAGCTCATAGTGAGCACTTACCAACACTATCCGTTTTGAGGTGACCGGTACTATAATAATATATTGTCCATTAAATTAAACCAACGACATTCAACACATCTCATTTCATTAGCTCTGCCTGTTTATTAATTAAATATTGTTAAATATTGTCACATAACGTGTTAGAGTTTACGATAAGAGAAACGGCATCTCGTTCAAAGCGAACGTTCTCTATTGTAAATGGCAATTATTAGGCAATTCGAAATGGCAGGATCAAAGCTAAGCTTAAACGAATCGTCGCCAGTCGATGATCATCACAGTTGATCGCGGATCGTTAATTGAACGCTTTTGTAAAATAGCCAATGAACGTGATTTAAATTAATTAATCTCGTTTGTGCGATTTCATTGCCAAACGATAAGATAGGCTATCAAATAATACGCGTGGTACATAGTAAATTATAATATAACCTTCTTATAATAAATAAATAATTTCTCTGTTATCGAATAATAATTTTTAATAAAAACTATCCATTACCAAAAAAAAAAATATATATATATATATATATATATTACTGTAATATAAATTGGGTTTTATGTTATTAAGTGTACTGAAAAGAAGTTGAACTAGAATAGCTCATTTGTTTTGTTCGCTAAACAGAAACATAATACTATGATTTATGGAAAATCATTAGCCCTCCCTATAACCTGTTAATTGTGCGAGTATGATACATATGAAGTTATGTAAAGCAAAAACACTCTCATGCGCGAGATAATAATATAATAAAATTATAAATTATGAATGACTGGAGTGGTATACGCTTTTAATGTAAAAATAAATGAATTACCCTAGGCGGGCGAATCGCAGCTTTGAAAGAGTACTTCAATTAAAGCGAGCATATTATTATAGATTATGTGTTAGAGAAAAAGGGGTCGGGTATCAGAGGAGATACAAAAGTGAAAACGAATATAAGATAGAACTCACGGGTATACTCCTAACCTCGTATGGCAATAGTCATTTTTGTATTTTTATTAAAATATAATTTTGAAAAATATTATTCGTAAAATACAAACAAACAATAACTCGTAAAATAATAAAAGGGTCGGGCGAATATTAGAAGTTGTTTTTATTTAGTTATGTTTGTACACGTTAATATACAATTGGTGTGCATATTATAAGGGTGCGGCGGAAGAAACACCCTTACTAATTTATAATGCCCCCCGCCGACGTAACAAATTTACTACGGGCAGATTTATCGCCAATCGGTTCTTGCTTTTATTACTCTGTTTCGCCATCAGACGACCTATAGGTAGGTACACACATTATTGTTGTATACGGCTACAGTAGGTACCTATATACTAGGACTTGCGTATATATATATATTTATATAGGAAACGTTGTATGTTGTGTTTTGGTAGTGAATAGAGCACAATGGGCCATCGTATTATAATGTACGGTTGGTCGTAAGCCGGTGTGTACTTACGCATTTGTGTTCGCAAATGTTCTTCATGTTCTTGCCTTCGGTTTGCAACACCTCGCAGTACTTCCAGCACTGAAACATCAACGAAAAACGTCAAATTAGTATACACGGCTGATTAAAATTAATTATATAGATCCGAGATCAATATTTTATTATTAAACATTCAACAGCGTTGCCCCCCTTTTGGACTATGCATTGCAAACCCGCCGCCAGACGGTCCCCGCACGTTGTTAAAGCCGTATTTATACTATTCTGCTCCCTAGTCGTGTAGACTGTAGAGGATAGAACAGCACACACACACCACAAATAAAGTAAGCTAGTTGTGGAAAGGCAGGCGTCCTGGGAGATGACTACTCGCGGAGGAGAGTCCCCTATAATATTGTCGGTGGGCATCGACGGTGGCACCTCTCGCCCCTTTCGGGCACTCCTTGTGGTTGAATGAGGGAACGAGGAAGATTCGGTATATGAGAAAAATTACTCTACTGGGAAAACCGGTCACGTACACGCTGCAAACCGCGAGTGCGTCATATTATTGCTTTTCCTCTCCTCTCCCCGCTAATATTTTTCTTATCTGCCGGTCGTTTTTCTTTGTGGGTGCAAAAATTGTATTGTATTGTATTAGCTGGATTCCGGCAGAAACCAGACACAATATATGTCTTATTGTGAGCCGGTCAACACTGACCGTGGAAATAAAAAAATTGGGCGGGAAACTAGTGGAAGAGCAAACAGTGTCGGTCGCACGTGATACGGTTTGTTGTGTGTGTGTGTTTACTCTTGCTAAAACGCCTAAAAGGTTTATGAGATTTTGGATGTCGCTCACGTGGAACGTTAAAATAAAAAAAAATAATCTCTGTCGACAATTTCGTTTAAACGCCAACGAAATGCTCAAACTGCAAATAATGCGCCGTGTGTGTTTGTATTTTGGAACAAATGTATTTGCGCCAATTTTACATAACACGGTTATTAGATTATAAATAACAGCTGTCAATATCGATCACGCACGCACGTGTGTGTGTGACATAAAACGACATCAGCCCTTAGAGTCTGATAAATAATTCCAACAGAGTTGGGCATTAATACAAATATAATAAAAATATGAATTATTATTAGTAAAATATAATTTTACCCGATTCCGAGTAAATAGAGATATATTTATTGTTTTTAAATCCTACGGCGGGGATAAAAATATATAACGTCCAGTAACCAACAGACTCAAAAAAAAAAGTGTATACAACAAAACTACGAATTTGGCACGTTTTCGGCCGAGTTCATTTTAATTTTTGATACGTTACAATATTATTTGTATTGGTATTATTCGAGTGCGGGAGGATTTGTAATTTGTATGCATTAGGGGCTTACACTGGTTCCAATCACGGATTTCACGTGTGGGATTTCATACTACGTGTGCACGGGATTTGCACAATAATATTATTATCACAGCAGCGCGCGGCTTTAAATTATGTATTTTGTAATTATTATTATTATTAGTGTAAATCCTGACAAGACGTTCGCTGGCCCGATGAAACATAACTTTGTCGTAAAACGAAACAGGCGATGCTGTTTACATAAACACATATAATATTATTATTGTGTACATAATTAGTATAACTATTATAGGTCCTTACCGGCTCTGTCCGAGAGGAGGCCGCGCGCGGTTAAATAAATTATTATCGTTCGAGTTTTCACGGTAAAACGACCGCGACCGATTTGTAGGTTTTAATTTTCAATATATATTCAAGAAAATCGAGAAAAAAAAATCAAAACAAAACGATCGACGCCGAAGTGAATTCGTCACGAGAGCAAACGGCCACAACCGCCCCCAGAGGCAAACGCTACTCAATCAACAGCTATAACCGACGAGATAGACCTGTATATATGTATAGAAATTGTTATGGTTATTATTTTACCTTCTGGTCGCACGGGGGCCGGGGCGCGTTCGTCCCGAGAGAGTGAGAGCAAACGCCGTCGCCGGTTCCTAATTTCCAGCCTTCCCGACGCGTATATATGTATACACATATACCGGTGGTGTGGTCAAAGAGAAAGAGAAGAGCTGTACATTTACAATATACCCGGTAGCAGCAATAGCAGCAGCAGCAGGTAGGTGGGTAGGAGGTATAGGTAAGTGTAAGTATACGCGATAATAATGGGCGCGTATCAATCAGTCGTCGCCCGGGCACCACAATTCGTTATGTTATACTTGGCAGCTCGCCGTTTAAGATATGTTAATGAAAAACAATCGGCTGCCGGGTTTGCATTCGTTTACGTCTGCTATACTATATGTATATTTATAATATATATATATATATATATATACATATAAAACGCATATACATACATTACACACACTCTTGCCGCCGCCGTTACGGTTATGGAAGTCTATTAATTTCACCGCGAAGACCTTGCCGGTTAGGTATAGTCCCCTAGGTGGTAATTACTAATATATATTTTACAACGCTGTGTTTTTACTGAAAAATAACCGTCTTCCAAACACGTCCGAACCGCTGACGGATTTAATATTTTACAAAGTTGCGTTATTATTGTGCCCAGAGTTGGTGTCACGGATTATAAATGAAATCAGAAAGGACAGTTTCAATGTAAACAAAAACGCGGCGGCCATGTTTTGAACCTGCAATAATCCTAATAAATTACATCAGCTAAAAATAATAATGTCTATATAGATATAATTTATCATGATTTGGAGGAACATGGCCGCTTCGTTGGCCATCTTTTCCGTGTTAATTTTTATCTGTGTCCTACGTGCAAGTGAGAATTAGGTATCGGGGAAGAGTGTTGTTTTTTCTCTACAACGAATTACGAATCGCGTGGTAAGTATATTACACCAGTAGCTGATGGTATTACTTGTTGTTGGTGTTATATTATATTTTATTGTACAAGCTCTGGACGACGGTAAAATATAAAATCCCTATTCAGTGTCCCTTTGGGCGTGTCGCGTTATAAACATAACGTGACAATGACACTTATATTGTATAGGTACATAGACCGACGCGACTCGGTAAAACTAAACTTGTAACGTGATCGGACCGCGAGTAGCCTTATAACTGCGCGTCCTATGACGACATATACTTGCATCTAATGGAACCATATAGTACGACCATATTGAAATTAAATTTAAAAAAATATGGTAGACGTTATACGTGTTATACCCTCGACTACGGCCGAATTGGGTTTTCTTTTTAATTTTATGTTATGCGAGTACTAAAAAAAAAAAAAAAATGTTGATTAAATCAATGAGTTATGCTAATCAAAAAAAAAAAATAGTTTAATAAATAACTACACACACGCGGCATACGCACGAAGTGATGAAAGGCCGGCGATTTTAATTTTATTTAATAATATGCTTTACCATCGTGACTTCTCGTGTACACTATTTGACACCTTCAACAAGAATACATCCCGTGTGGCGTTTTTGATGAAACTATACAGTGTACACATGGCACATTTTTCGTCTAGGGTGAAAAAAAAATGTATATACAACATTATTAAACGCGCGAACTTCCTCCCGGCGCAGAAAATGGATCCCTCTACGCCTGTCGGGTAACAAGTGTAAACCATCTGGCGTCCGACCGTTTCGGTTATTGTTTTTTTTTATAATATCACAGTCAACGGGTTTAATATTTATTTATTTATTTATACATATATATATATATATACATACTATATAGAAATCCAACACCGAAATCACAAAAATACAAGACTAATAATAAATTCAATACAACACCTAAGTCTGACTATTATGCAACGTTTATTCGAAATCCTATACCGAATTAAACGATTTTCTTTTGTATAAAAAAAATACATTAAATAAAATCTTCCAAAAATAATAGATGGTTGTTAAAAAATTATACAGTTATATAATATACAAACATACAATTTTAATATTACTCTTACTATACAACACAGTTCTTTTTACTAAGTGGTGTGTACTTATACTATACAAATCTTCCCTTGAAGGATGTAAATTGTAGTACGAATGTGTCTTTCCGCCCCCCCCTCTTCATCTCACTTCCTCCCCTCATTCACAAAAAAACAAATTATGCATATTTTCGACAGACCCCCAGCCAAAAGACATTCATGTTAAAAAAAATTCGTCACAAGTAGTAAATTATAATAAAACCAATAATTTTTTTTATAATCTGATATATTATTTTTTTACTTTATATTTCTATCTGCTATAATTTTCATGACTTCCTTCTGGCCGGTAACTTATTCGCCAACAGATATTGCAACAGTCTATCACAACAAGTGCAGAACGCAGACGAATGGTGGGAAAACAAATAGCTAATGAGAATAATATTTAACACAGCGTACAGGCCCAATATGCATGCAACAATGTTGTGATAATATCATAATGGCCGTGGGCGTGGGATGTGTTGAAAATTAGCGTGCAGCGTCACGATGACGTTTCCGTTTGCAGCAATACTGCCACACGTTCGTCAATCACAAAACAGGTACACGCTATTATAGTATTATTATTATATAATATGGTCTAATACGGCGACGGTGTAATGAATCGATGTCTTTTTTCGTTTGCGGGTAATTAATTGTTTTGACTTGACGCTGGCGATGAAGATAAGCACCGTGCAGCAGTAAAAAAAAGAGTTGCCGGTAAAACGCATTATCACCTGTCCCGATGGTATCGCCGCCGCTGTCGTAAAAGGTGTTGCCGGAAGAAAAACCCAAAGGAACACGATAAAAAACCTAACCGTAAATCCGTCGACTACACGTTGCTTATTTTGATTTAACGGCTACGACGACTTAACCTCATCGTGGCCCTTGATCGTGAGACAGCCCCGATTAGGACGGTTAAACGGTCATCTTGACATATTATTATCATCGATGGTCGCGCGTCCAACCGGTCGAAAGTTAATTTTAAGAATGTCCAAGTGAGTAATAACCGATGACCAGCGAAACCCAATATCGGAGTGTAATCAGTTTTGCAAAACCGCTAAAAAATGTTTTCTTAATATTTTCTTTTATGATTTTTCCCGACTTTGCTCAACCGTCCTCGCGGAATAGGGAAGAAACAAACGCTAGAAGAACGCGTACTGTTG